AGCTGGGTTGCTGACATTGGTCTTCACCCGCTCAACGGGTGCTGGTCTGAACAGAGCGGGGATGGCGTGAGGCACTGTGTGCTGCTCTGCTAACCATCTACGGAGGTCAAAGACAAGATACAGTTTAAGCTCGGTTTCCACAAAGCCTCATCCAAGAAGATCATGTTTTTAAATTTATTCTTACTTGTCTAAAGCCAGAAGCATCTTGGAGGTGATGGAGCAGAAGTGGGTGCTAGTCTCACTGCACACCCGCATGATGTCCTGGAAGCAGTAGAAGCTCGGGCTCCCGGCAATATAGACAGGCTTGCTGTTATCTGTTCAGGGGGATGTATTATTACATAGTATATAACTATTTTTTACAATATTTGAGGCACTGATTTAGAGAGACAGATTCTTTGTTTCTTGCTCACCTTTAACACTGACTGGCACAACAAAAAGTGAGGCCTCTTTTCCTTCATTGTCTCCATCTAGAGGGAATTTCTTCATGTGCACCACACGCTTTCCTGAAACCCAAAACTGTTTTTAGATCCCTGGTTCCCAATCTAAGAGGTCAACTCAAACACATGTGCAGTCTGTGAGGAAGAATATTCTTTACTTTAAAGAGATAAAAGGCAAAAGGCTTGGATACACTGTTTTAAATGGTCAGGAGGGATGATACTGTATGCATGTCTTAAATTAGAGATATTCATGAGTGCAAATGTCACAAATGTCCCACGCTCACCTATGAAGCCTTGGTTGTTGGATATCGGTCTGATTGTCTCGTCGACATAATCCAATATGGATTTGGATTTGTCTCCTGATGCTTGGATCTTTGTCGCCAAGAGGACTTTCTTTCTCTTCTTCTCCTTTCCCTCCAAAGGCACTTCAATCAGCAGGATCTTTACAGGGACCAGAAGAAACATAGAAACTAGGTTAGAAATACAGGACTGGAAAGGTAGGGAACTGGCTGGCTGAATGCCTGTCTAGATGCCGGGAAGACGCTCTGCTGTCAGACTCAGCACATTTACCTCATAGGCTTTGGCTCTGTACTCCTTTGAACTCAGGCTGACTTGACTCTTTGGGCGAATGACAGCAACAAACACATCCTCGAGGCTGTCCTCGTTGCCCATACTGCTGACTCTTTCTCAGTCCTGACAAAACCGTCTACACAAGGGCCAAATGCTGTGGAGAGGCATCCCTGAAACAGAAGATCACAGGGGGAGCAAATGTTATCATGACTAAGATTAATAACAATTTTATGTTGATAAGACCAGATCTAGCTCGAGGTTAAAGCCTGGCATTTCTGACAAACTCACAATAACCTCACTCGAAAAGGTGCTGATATTTCAAGAAGGTTTTTTGATGCTTTATATAACATATCACATATAATCAATTAGTTTTCCAATACAAAATCTAACTCCATCTATTGTGAGAGTTGATTTATCATTTATGTCGTATTTCAAGCAATAATGTCAGACATTCTCTAATATCATCTTCTCAGATGTGAGGATGTGCTTCTCTAAACTAGGACAGAGTGTTGGCCGAACAGGTAATTTATCATTGACCGTAGAGCAGGGATGTCAAACATATGGCCCAGGGGCCAGAACTGGCCTACCAAAGGGTCCAATTCGGCCCACTGGATGACTATGCACACCTGATATTGATGCACCTGTGACAGCTAAAAGGTGTCAGGTTTAACCAGTGAGCGGATACTTCATGTAAAATGCTGCCTCAGAGGCCTCTCTAACCTGACCAGCATACAGCTCTCTGAAATAACAATAAATGGATTTAAAGATATTGAACATTGTGCAAAATATTATTAACCACCAGCTTCAGTACAAAAGACTCTGTATCAGACTTCTATCATAAAATAAGATGGCTGGCGGGTGTTCATCATTTGTTTTTGTAAGTGGATGAATGTTTTCAGAATAAATTCCTTTACACAAAAAAAGGGTAAAATCTGAAGGGGTTGTTATTATAGATTATTATGTAATGGTTTTTCTGGTCCGACCCACTGTAGATCAAACTGGGCTGTATGTGGCCCCTGAACTAAAATGAGTTTCACACCTCTTTCCTAAAATGTCAGTTCACTTGTGAAAATTGCACCACTTGATTGTAATGCATCTTTTAAGAACCATAGCAGATGATGTTTGAGGTGCATATGATTGTAATTCATTACAAGTTTTATTACTTTTTAAACAAAACCCTACCAACTGTGATATATAATAGTAAATGCACCTGTGTTGCCTTATGACTGTGGTTATAAGACATATCATGGAAGCTTACAGCAGCGTGTACCATGCCTTATCAGCGTGTTATAACTATATTATGGCAATAGATTTCGTAGTTATCTGCAATGCAGTGCAGACTTCAGGTTAACCCACTCTCCAATGACTTATAGTAACAATCAAGCAACAATAATAGCTGCTCAAAATCAACTTGTTGAGTTCAGAGGGGGTCACGCCCCGGAAACCAAAGTCTGTTGTCTTAGAACAGTTATTACACAAAGTGAATTATGCGCTGTATTTAAGACTACACTCCGTGCTGTCAGATCAAACCAATCTCGACACATTTCCCCGACCACAACAAACAGGATCAACTTTTTGGACTGTATCAGCAGCTGTAGCCGGGATGCTACACTCATCATCACCGCTTTTCCGCTCGCTGGGCTGTTGAAACTTACCGAAAGCGACGTGACTTTTTCCTCAAACAGACCAAACACAGTCTCGCTCAGCTCGCAGGGAGTTTCAGCTTGTTAAATTTAATAGTCCGCAGACGGCATACTGCCCCAGGTAAACTTCCACGGCAGATATTTGGGTTGAGGTAATGTTTAGTGGTAGGCCTGTAACTTGGGGCAGGGCTGCAGAGACAAACAGAGGAATCGTGTTACGTTTCATGACAGCAGCTCCGGTCGGACAACAGAGAACTCTGGCGGTGAGGGGGACTCAGTGCGGCAAAACTGTCTCAAAATACTGCTTATATTCCTATAAAACAAGGATTGATAATACTGATAATGATGACAAATACTAAGTTACTATATAAAATGTATTTTAGAAATATGGATATAATCACAGGGACATTATTAGTGAGAGTGATTTATTTTTCCTCTTAATTGCTCCACCCTGTCAGTTGAACATGAAGCTAACTGTTACAGCTAGCAGCTAGTTAGCTTTATATTTAAAAGACAGAGTGGTGTCAATAAAAAGGAAAAATAAATCACTCTAACCAAAAAAGTCCCTGGAATTATATCCATCTGTCTAAAATACATTTTACAAAACTGCTTAGTATTTATCATTGTTATTATTTATTAATTTAAAGGATTTTAAAACTGTAACTGTTACAGTTGGCAGCCGGTTAGCTTAAGTTTAGCTGCTAATCTAAGCTAACCAGCTGCTAGCCGTAACAGTTACCCGGTGCTAGACTTTGTGAACCGATGTGGCAGGCCTTGGGTATTGTAGTTTATAAAGGATTCAAATTTCAAATAAGCCATCAACCATCTATATGTGTTGAAAATAGCTGCTGAAATTAGCAAGAATGATTTTTTAAAATATTTTTTTAATGCATGAAAGGTTGACATTTTAGTAGAAATACAAGTAAATATGCAAGATAAAATGTTATTGACACAAAGATAAAGTATTTAAAGTAATAGAAACAGAACTTTGTATTGCATTACCCTCCTGAGACCCAAATGTTTGTTTGGTATGTATTTTTAATTTCTCAGAGCTGTTAGTTTGGATTAGTAGGACCTATTAAGCATTAAAAAAAACCTAAACATGGTCAACAATAATAAAGTCCCAATGTCCACAAACAAAACGATAATAAAGTCCCAGTGTCTTCAAATGAGCCAACGATAGAATCCCAATGCCTTCAAAGGAGTACTTCCTAATTAACAATGTCTTAGCTTGTTACTGTTGCTAAAATTGGTAAATTGGCATATGAAACTACAAACTATTAATTGTAAGTAAACAAGTTTCATCGGTAAAAATGTGATCAGGTTTGTAGCTTGCGACAAGCTACAATTCTGATGGCTGCCATTTTGTTTTTACATAGATTAGTGTATTGGGGTCTTACTACCACTATATAGCACAGAAAAGTGTCCATGAACGAGGACAACAGGTCTAAGTTAAGCAGAATGAAGTTTAAGGTGCAGTAAACCCAAAATGTGATGTCCTCTTAAGCAGGATTTATACTTGTGTGGCAGAACCTACGCCTTAGCCTACACATGTCGCCTACTCCGATGTGAGCATTTATACTTGTGCTGGTGTCTCTGTGTCACTCTGCAGTGACACCTCCAAAACACTAGTCGGCGGCAGATGTTTCTGTGGAGTGCTTTAAAGATTAGTTGATTCAAAACACACATTAAACATGGCTTAAAGAGACAAACAAATCAATTTCAGCGTGCATGCATACATCAAACCAGGTAAAAATGTTCACGCTGGCAATAGGGCGCGCACACACAACCCAGTCCCTGATGTTCTGTCCTTAGCCACTGATCTTTCCAAATCCTAAAAACGCCCCTGGTTTAACCTCCTCATAAGTCTCCATAATGACACACTGCTCCCTATGCGAGAAGCAAGCTGCACGTGCCCTCTCCATTGGTGCATCACTGAAACTGTGATTGACCCATGCGGTCTATTTAAGAAAGCCGTGGACACTCACTTACCTGAATAAATTACACCTGGCTTGACATAGCCGCTCCTCCTCAGCCTGGCTTGGCGTTCGAACAACCAATTAAGCCAAGATGGACGTGTGAGACTTTGTCCAGCCTTGCTTTTCCACTTATCCTGGATTGCTTAATGCTATTTTCGAACAATGGGCCCCTGGTTACCCGTTTTCTCATGTTATAGTCTTTATGCTAAGCTAAGCTAAACTAATTGGCTGCTGGCTGCATTTAGCCATAATGGGAGTTTTTTTCATATTTTCAGACACTGCAAAGACATTATTTACTGTATCTCCTGTTGGCAGGCATCGTTCTACCTGCCTAATATTCTACAATGAAAGGAAGGAATGGAATCAAATAGTTTGATAACATGTTTTATGAGTTCAAGTTTATTGTTTTAACTGGTATCTTAAAATCTTTTCCATGTAGGGTCAACAGAAGTATTAAGAGCGTTGTTGTTTTTTTTCTAGAAGAAGGGGGTTTGTGTATGTTTGTGTGTGTGTTTTTTAATCCATTTTGAAGTTAGAGCTATGCCCTACAAATTTTACCAACTAGTACAACATGAGGTTTCAGTGTGGATGAAATGGATTTCACAAATATACAACTTTATCGACTAATATGTACATTTTAATTGAAGAGATTGTGTAAAACTTCAGCATATTGGCATGTAACAGAGCAACTGAAACATATAGTGGTCTCTTTGAAACAAAAATTAACATACAATTTCGATACATTAACTAAAATGCTGCAATAATAACATCAGGTGCAGCTCTAGTGCACTTGAGAAAGCATGGCTTTGGTTTTATTTGGATATATATTATTACATATTTTGTCTTTTTTCATTGGTCCACAGCTGAGAGATCATATTGTTCCTGGCGTCGTCCCCTCTCTGCTGGTCCATGTTCAGGACGAGTTGTCCTTGCACTGACTGAGAATCTCTTGCATCTTCTGCTGGATGTCTGCCACCCTCTCGGCCCACTTCTCCCGCACCTCGTCTTCGTCGTCCTCTGTCACAGCTGTGTAGGCCATGAGGGCAATGAGGCCCATGTGGAACAGGTGGGTGATGTGTGAACAGTGGCGCTCCATGATCTCACGGTTGCCGTCGCAGTTGTCCAGGTACACCTTCAGCAGGGGTCTCCCAAACAGCAACTTGGTGCCCATCACACCGCGGTAGTATATATCCAGGCTCATGTCACTTTTGTCTCTCTCATAAATCTTCTCAAATTTCTCCATGTGGCGCTTAGTGTTGTCTGGATCTTTCTTCACCTGTGCCACCATGTTGTTGAAGGCAGTGTACTGGTGCTTAATGTACTCCTCGTACTTGCCGTAGGTTTCGTTCACCTCGTCGATGTGGATCTTCATCAGGCATTGATGGTTCTTCTCAGAGATGCTCTGCAGTTTGGTGTGGAGCTGCTGGAAGTCCTTGTCTAGAGCGTGGCCCTCCTCCTTGATCAGACCCTTGCGAGCCACCCCAACCAGGGAGGAGACGATCCCAAAGATGGGGTCGATGGAAGAGGCGAAAGAGGAAACCTTCTCCACGCAACACAGCACTTTGGCTGCAGTTTTCTTGATCTTTTCTGCATCAGCCATCACTGCTGCTTTTATTCTGCCACGGTAAGATCCACACAAAGTGAGTCTGGAGGCTGGGGGACACACAAAAAAAACATATTTTAAAATATATCTAATATATCTCAAGGATATCTTTATCATCCTAGAGTGGCAATTTGTTGCGCAGCCAGTAGTAAAACCAACAGAAGAAACAATAAATACGGTGCATTAAATTCAAATACAACACAATATAAACATCACATTGAAAGATTTGTAATGTCATTGGCAGCAGTCTATTGGTCCTGCATCTGGGCAGATTGTATCTGCACCCAGATGAACTCCTTTGACAGGGGCCAGCTAGGGTCAACTAGAATTGACTTGGCCCTCTTCAAGGTCTTAACCTTGAGCAGATGAAGAAGGAAGCTAGTTAATCCTTGCTCATGCATTTGGGCAGCACATAGGCACTTTGCTCTTTGTTTTATGGATTAAGTATTATGGTTTTATTGTTTTTATGACTCTCTTTCCATTTTTACAATGCTTGTGTATTTCTATCTTTCTCGAGGCATGTGCAATACTTGTTACATCCTCTATTTTTAGTGATGTTGCATGTTTTTATTATGCCTGTGGTGTACCACTGTTACACAGTAGGGTCATGTTGACTATGTATTCCCAGCTGGTCGCCACTATCATTAGACGTTAATATTTGGTTGACTTTAGGTTATGATGTCGGAAGTTCAAAGTCAAGACAACGTCTAATGCCAACATTAATTTGACATAGGAAAATGTCAACAGATGACGTTGATATTTTTTTGGTTTTAAGTGACCAAAATCTGCCGTCTTCCAGACGTCTCATGCCAACGTCATCTTGACAGAGAATAACCACATTTAGTCATAAGGTCTGGAGAACAAAACCCAGTGTCTGCAAAATGTAATAATAGTAACATCCACACAACGGGAAATTATAGTATTGTCAGACATGTAAATTATCGTCAACCTGATTTTCATTCCAACCAAAATTTGACATTGGTCCCATGTAGGAGTGCAACATCTTTCTGACATGTTGACATCCAGTGCCAGCTGGGTTTGCTTCAAGCCAAGTGAAGCTAGGTGGAGCACTGATGCCCAGGCAAAAATTTCCTCTCTCATCATTCAAGGTCGTGCCTGCAATTTTGCTGCACACTGTGAGGATACCCTAAAAGATATTCCTATTTTTGAGGGAAACTAAACCGTACCAGCTGACAAAAGAGAATGAGAGGACTGATTCAATAAAACGGGAATAGAACATTTACATGAACATATTGTCAACATTTAAACTTAGAAGTTTATTTATGATTAACGTACATGCACTGGAGGGCTTTTCTACACACAGCATCCACATGAAGCTCAAAGGTTGGCTTGTCATCAACTTCAGTGCCAAGATATTTCTACTGATGCTGGTCAAAAGTTAAATCATTTATCACCACAGCAAAGATGACCGTAGGATTATTCCTAAAATCTATTGTCATATCTTTTAATATAAATCTGTACTCTGCATGGTAGCTTCAACTTCTGACCACAATCTAAGAGCTTTACCCAAAGGATTGGTCACAGAGGATCCCAAATGTTTCCTCCTCTTGCATTACCCAAAATTAAGCTCATGGCTGACTCTCAGTTTGCTGGTGCTACAACACACATGTCACCAGCTGCTGCACAAACGCCATATTGTAGAAGGTGTCATCTTACAGTGTAATGTTACTGGCAACAGGTCACGATGAGGGCTTGTGTTGTCTGCAGTGATAAACAGAGCTCAACATGTGAGCAGAGAAGGAAACTAGGGCAGGAAGTAATGAATCTGATGATTTTATCAATTCTTTGGAGTATAAAATGTCAAAAAAAAAAAAGAAAGGAAAAAAAAAGACGAAGATCACCATAACTTAACATATTAAAGTAGCTTATTTTGTCCAAACAGCAGTCTAAAACCCTTAAGTATTTACTTTAATAACATAGCGAGCAAAGAAAATCAGTAATGTGCACACTTAAGACACTTGAAACCAGCTGATTTTTGGCATTTTAGCTTTAAAGAAGATGACATAAGAAATTAACATATCATAAAAATAGTTGCCTCGCCATTTTTTTGTCTATTAATTATTGAAGAAGTTGTTGCAAATTACCAGGAAATGGCACAGAGAGGTTCCTCCTTCTTTAAGTGACTGAAAAAACATTGTTGAGGAGATATATAAAAACTCACTCATTTACTGAGACTCCAAAAAGAGACACCATCTAAATCTCTTTATGAGCATGGCAAACATGTTTCAGGTGATCGCTGAATTGCTGATGAGTACTGTAATGCCCTAAATATATGCAATTTACCTCAGTGACACTCCAGGTTTGTTTTGTGTTTATATGTTATTTTTGTGAAAACAAATTGTTAAAAAAAGCAATAAAATTTCAGTTAAAAAAAGAAGTTGTTGCAGATAAAAAGGAAATTTGTTTTTGTTTCTCTACAATGTAGGAATTCAGAGTTCACTTAAAAGAATGACTGTGTTTTGGGTAATTATTTTAAAACTTATTGTTTGTTATAAGGGGGCATTATTACATCCTAGAAATCTTTAACTAGTTTCTGAGACCACAGACCAAATCAATATGTGAGCATCTTTCTCATCGTTGTGACATTAATCATCCCTCTCAATGTTGTCCTGCAGGAAAAATAGCAGTGGGTGTGTCTTCATAGTTACACAAGAAAAAAATAAGAAAATAAACAAATGGTTACATGTCGTGACCTTCAAAGTGTCATCTTTATCACTTCAGATAACTCCAGTGGCTGTTTGGCACCTTTAACTTTAACTTGGGATGTTGCTTTGTTTGTTTTTGAGCCTGTTTCTCTCATTTCCTGATTCCCAACAACACACGCACATGAATCAACCAACCATCTTTCACGTTCTTTTCATCAGTCCTAGCTCATTCAGATATCACACACAGTTCAAACATCCTTTAGATTACAGATAATAGAGCACTCAGAAGACAGATGTTTACTCACCAGAGATAAAACTGTCGGTATTCCTCTGTCTACTGAAGCCGTCTGTCTTTCCTTGCCACCATTTTCCTCCCTATAGTCAAACAAGGACAACCCCTTCCTGCCATATAAGGGGGCAAACACGAGGAAGTGACTCATGCATGCCCTGTGCTGATTGGTTGAGGGGAGTTCCTCCAGATGCACTGCGGCTGCAGGCTCCAACCACAGGCTGCAACAATGACAGGGTATTCTTTTCATTGTGTTGTTTTTATTACTGGTCCCCACACCTTCCAAACCAGTATGTTGCACCAGATACCACAGAGATTACCATTAACATGAAGTGAAAGAGACTGTCACACTTAATAACCAGGAAACAAGATTGCTTTTATATCTGAGTATCTCTAATAACACTGTGAAAACTTTATTTAAATAAAGAAAAACTAATAATATTCCATTATTTTGTGTCCAGACTACATGTGAACACATCTTTAAGCAGATATATTTGGTGACAATAATCTTGAAACATGGCCAGAAAATACACTTAATACCTTTTATTATATTGCTTCAAAGTCTTCAGTACATATATTATATGACTCTGGACAAACACAGATGTAAACTTATTTGACTGCTTGGCAGAGGCATACAACCGCAAGGCAGTAATTCTAATGTTGTGTTAATTTGAGTGAACTGACCGTTTAAAATGCCTGAAAGCTAGTGGTCACCTCAGACATCCGCCATGCCAAAAAATGCAATGTTCCAAAACAGATAAAGTCTACAGAAATCCTGTGAAAAGATAGAATAAGCTCCTACCCGCATGGTGGACAGATAAATACAGCTTTCATAGCCAGAATCTCATATCATGAGTTCATATTCCCCTAACACACACACACACACCCAAAAAATCTTCTCTTCCACACCACAATATAACTCTGGTGGAGAAATGTTAAAAACCCTTATTTATGTTTTGTTACAGTCATAGTAAATGTTATAGTACCACGTAAACTCTCACACAGATCATTAAAAGCCACAAATTCCCAAGAACAATTCCTGAGATGTGAACTCTGTCCTAACACGTAGCCACGGCCTTGACGGTGTTAAACATAGAGAATCATGGCACTGATTCAAACATCAAGAGGAAATGTTCCGCTACCCTTTACCTCTGAAGCTTACAGGAATATTGTGAAATTCAACACAAGTACCAGGAGCTGGTTTTACCGAAGAAGTGTGTGTGTGTGTGTGTGTGTGTGTGTGTGTGTGTGTGTGTGTGTGTGTGTGTGTGACATTGGTCCCATGTAGGAGTGCCATGTCTTTCTGACATGTTGACATCCAGTGCCAGCTGGGTTTGCTTTAAGTTAAGTGAAGCTAGGTGGAGCACTGATGCCCAGGCAAAAATTTCCTCTCTCATAATTCAAGGTTGTGCCTGCAATTTTGCTGCACACTTTGAGGATACCCTAAAATCTATTCCTGTTTTTGAGGGAAACTAAACCGTACCAGCTGACAAAAGACAATGAGAGGACTGATTCAATAAAACGGGAACAGAACATTTACATGAACGTATTGTCAACATTTAAACTTAGAAGTTTATGATTAAAGTACATGCACTGGAGGGCAGAATCTGCTGGAGATATGTCAAAAACTTTTATTTAAGTTTTGTTACAGTCATAGTAAATGTTACAGTACCACTTAAACTCCCACACAGATCATTAAAAGACACCAATTCCCAAGAACAATTCCTGAGATGTGAACTCTGTCCTAACATGTAGCCACGGCCTTGACGGTGTTAAACATAGAGAATCATGGCACCAATTCAAACAAAAAGAGGAAATGTTCCTCTACCTCTGGAGCTGAGAGGAATATGGTGAAATTCAACGGAAGTACTAGGAGCTGGTTTTACCGAAGAAGTGTGTGTATGTGTGTCCTGTAATTACACAAACACTCATTTTGAATTCACATCTCTACCTTTATACAAGATGTCCTTACCCTTACCTGTAGTGATATTTATCTGTCTATATTGCGTAGATGTGAGTTGCTGAGTGTTGGAGATGTCAGCCATAGAGATGTCTGCCTTCTATAATAATGGAACTATATTGGAGAGAGAGCAGACATCTCTACGGCTGAAACAGCACTACATGTAAGAGGAAAATATGTATTTTTGATGTTGGGGTGATCTGTCACTTATGGACATTATATATAAATTGAATATAATTATTTTGTTTTATTCTGTCTTTATGTGCTGCTTATAATAATTATCACTCTTAGTGTAAACTTTGACAACATTGATACAGTGGCTGAAATTATGCAGTTAGTTAACAAGTGCAAACATAGCTTTTGTGATATACTGTACTATGCACTGCACTATGATTTGCTGATTGACGGATCCATTGTTGAGCAGCTGACAATATGGCTATCTTTTTTCCACCAAACCTGCAGGACCTTCTTTCTTGCAACTTCTTTTGGACGTCCTCCACAGTCTTGGTAAGTGAAGTCATATAGTACATTTCATACAAAAAGAGAATTTATAATGCTTTACTTAATAGTCTAGCAGGAAAAATAGGGTCCTGTGCACCTACATGGCATTTTTTTGTGACCTGGTTTTGTTGCCAAGGTCAACTCGTGGCCCATAAGGGTTCGTTTGGCGACCATCTTGAATTGATGTGCAGGCTAATGGCGAAAAACGCTGATTTTCATTACTCCTGTCCTGAACCAAACAACATACAAAAACAAATGAACCCACTTTTTCAAATAATTTGGACACCAGGAATCAAACATAACAGTCACTGACATGCTACAACCACTCATTGGGAAAAAAAACAGGCAAATGACACATTTTAGGCTCATAACAATATAACTTCTGCTGTTGTTTACCAGTTGTTTCCTGCAATAGGCAAATGTAGCTACTTTATTATAATATATAATGTTTAATACCTTTAGTAGGCCTACTTGTAGAGTACAGAGGTTGTAAAAATGTATCACTTTGGCGCCATCTGGTGGTAGTATGAAGAATTACACTGTGGTACACTCTTTTGAAGAATCTAATTTCCATCCCATTACTTTTCAGAAGTATAACTTGTTAAAAATGTTTTGAAAAATAGCACCAAGACATCTTAACAAACGGGAACGCTTTAAGAAAGGTTTATTTGCCCAATAAGAAACATACATGCAATGTAAATATAGAAGAAACAAATATGCATTGTTCAAAAAAGATGCCCTAGCCTAATGATTCTCAAGTTTTCCATTCTCTCTATGTAAACACGACAACACATATGAGCTATTAAAATCCAGGGGTTTATAAATTAATCAAAATAAATGATGTGTCATTGACATTAATTGGTGCCCCATGCACATTCAAAGAGGTTACATCCCCAAACAAAAGAATACAGAAAAGTAAAAAGTAAATCAATCCTTTGTACTCAGCAGGGGCACATTAAATGAGACAAGTTGATCTATAGGAGAATGAATATTTAAAAAGTAATACAAAAGTACTGCATTATATTACATTATATTTTTGTATTAAACTGTCACCTGCCGCCTGAAGTTTATGCTGTCCTTTACATAAATGGAGCCATTTTTGGAGTGCAATAAAGTGTTTGATGCTCAAAATGATGTGTCTCTCCACTAATGTTGAAGCAAAAACTACATCCATGGTAGCAGCCGAGGCTATTCCCTTTGGACTTGCCTTTATACATTTTTTTCCTGACACAGTGTAATTATTTACTCTTACCACATACAGATCCCCTCATTAAATTGCCTAAAATCATGTATGTTTAAGGCTGTTTAAAAGATTTTTTTCTTCATCTGATTTCTCATGTCCCCACCACTTTTCAACACGTCACAAAAGCCCTTGTACACAGCAGTATGACCCCCCTCAGCTTCCTGCACACCAAGGCCCCTTATGTTAAAATATCATAATTTATCAACTCCACTAAAAGCTTTAACAATAATAATAAATAATTAGATTAATCAAAGTGAAATTAATTAACAGTATTTTTGATACAGTTACTAACAACAGGATGGTGGATAATGTATCATTAGCTTTAGGCACACATAGAAACACATTTTTCCGTTAGCTTTACTGTAAGTTTTGTAGACACGTTCTATGTCTGCATTGTTCTGTTAAAAGTCAAGAGAAGTGCAATTAGTTTCCAACTGTTATCTACATTCACATGGCCTGATTATTTAATAGAAAGAGGAAGAGGAATGTCTATTCTGTACCCTCCGGCTATACAATCTGTGTTGACAGCTAACCAAATATTGCTCAACAAGGACAAGGACAAGGACAAGTGTCTTATGTAATATTTGACTTCCCGCGTAGTGATATGAGACAAAACGGGAAAACATCTGCAGACTTTTCCATGTGCTACATTTACACACACATACACACACAGCAGATACACTTTCCCCGACCCCTCAGAGCTCAGGACCTCACACTGCCTCGGTCTGTGTGCTCTAACAGCTGATTTATTCTGTAGGATGCTTGTCCAAAAATATTAATTTCAAGCATATTTGTTATAATGATGTCACCCATACAGTAGAGATACATCCAGTAGACGTTTGGCAATGCCAAGTTCCATAAAATTTTAACGAACTACCACAATTTTAAGTAAATGCAATACTTTTCTGTACAGTGCAACAAATGTTTGATACATTAAAATAATACAAATGCAGAAACCATTGAAAATAGCAAACTAATGTCCTACAATTTCATAAATTTTAGTAGTTTTTGCATTTGTATCATAATGATGCATCAAACAGGCCAACGGTACATTGTCAAGGTTGCTTTAAGTTCTTACCAGAGTAAAGAAGAGAAACACTGATCAGCTTGCAACGTCTAGTTTGCAAGAAGATATATGTCTGTATAGCAGCTGTTTCTTCTTCAGAGTCTGGCTGAAATGCAAGCTGATCCCTGTGATTTTGTTTCACACCTTTCTCAGTTCATTGTTCTTCATCTGAAAATCATCAGGTTCAGGATGCCCCTGCTGGATAACGTGAAAATGTCGTTGTTATGTCCCTAAGATGAGAAAGCCTCTATACTAACCACTACATTTTTAGACATTTGTAAGTGGTTTTGTGAACAGCAGGTTCGAGTGGCTCGAGTCCACCATGGTGGTTGCTTGGGTCCTCTACCAGAGGCCCGGGAGTTTGAGGGTTCTGCGTAGTATCTTAGCTGTTCCTAGGACTGCGCTCTTCTGGACAGAGACCTCAGATGTTGTACCTGGAGTCTGCTGGAGCCACAGTCACAGCCCCGAGTGCTCTGATTATCACTGGCACCACTGCTGCCTTTACTCCTCACATCTTTTCTAGCTCCTCTTTCAGCCCGTTCTAATAGCCTCAGGCCTCCTTCTCCATGGAGGGTAGCGCTCTTTGTGGCTCATGGTGTTCATCTCGTAGCAAAGCTTCTCTAGGATCACTGTTGCTGTGGTGTTCGTCTCAGTAATGGTCTTAGTGGGGATAATTCGTAGTGCTGCATTCACATCATCTAGCAGACTTTCAGACTGTTCTTTGTCACTGGTAACCGGCTTCGGGGGTGCCAGGATTCCAGCTTATTCATTATTCTCAATCACAGGTCATTCACCCTCGCTGTAAGGGAATCTGTCTCGTAAGGGATTGGGGCTTGGTACCCAATCTCAGAGTGTGGGGATGATGATGATGATGATGATGATGATGATGATGATGATGACATCCCCACTTTAATCCTCATCAATCTGTAATTGTGATAGCAGTTGCTGTTTGCGGTGTTGAAACACTGGGCTAGGAGTTGTTTCTTTGTTAGTGTAGACATTGGGTTTCGAAGCATCCATATGTCCCACATCCTCTGCATGTAACCCCTCTCACTGGAGTTACCTGTATAGTAGTATTACAACAGTCCCTATTTTCTGCTCTTGTCCATCTATGTTTTATTCCAGTAGCACATTTCTCATCAGGATGCCCTGGTTCCCCAACACCTGACGTGACCTTTGTTCACAAGGACGACATTCGAGCCAGTATGACTCTTGTTTTTGCGCCTTCACTCATCCTGAGGTAGGCGAGTTAAGAACTTTGCCTAAGGGTTCAGACTGGATATGTGTTACCTGCCCTGACCAGGATATTTATATACGTATATGTATAGATTTTCTTTTTTTTTTTTACATCACTAAGTTCTCTCTATTGAAATTCTCAGTGTTGTATTGACACACTTTTATAAGTATTGGGCCTATTTTGGACCTATTTTGGGGCTGATAAGACTGATAAGAAACGCTGTGGGAAAACATTCACCTGTAGCTGATGCACATAGACAAGCCCTGTTGTAACTAAAACACTTTATTTTTTTTTTAAATATTTGATCATAAAGTCATTCTCCTCACTAGCTTTTGTATTTTTAATCCTTTTAGCCTTTTACACATAACATGCTATGGCAACGCAAACATCTTAAAAGTGGACTTAAAGAAATCTTTAACAATGGCTAGAAGCCCAGCAATACATTCACATATTCAAAGGATTTTTTAACCACTTCCTTGAGTTGATTTTTGTATGTTTGATTCTGAACCACAATAAATGAGGGATGTGATCAGATGAATACCCCTCACACACAAACACACGACCCTGCTCCCACCCCTGCTCTGTAACGTAGCGCTCAGCTGCTCCTCTATGGTATTTCCCACAATAACATCCCAGGTCCACACACTGACTCTGTCATTTTGCCTCTGACCCCCTCCACTCCTCTTTCTCTCTCTCTCACTCTGTCTCTCCGTCTGCTCTTTCTGTCCCAAGGGAGCCGGACCGGAGTGAGGACGAACATCTTCTGGTGTCAGGTATGACCCGAAGCAGGCTGGAGCAACACATGAACACATCAGCAGGTTTGACACAGCAGCAGTGGATGGTTTGCTTCAGTTTTGGGATTAAAAAGGTTTAAGCCTGCCATTGAAATGGCCTGGAGGGGTGAGCTGAGGTCGACCTCAGCTCTGACCGGGATCGAATTGTTTCCACTGTTTGTTTGGTTTTTATATTGGCTGACATACTTTCATGATGGGAAAGGGTTTTTTGTGTTTTTACTAAAAAGCAGGCGTATGCCAGCCCGGGAGAGAACTAGAGTTAATTGGACATTTAGTTTTACCATCATCTAATCTGTTTTAGATGATGAACAAGTATTGATTTAGTTAAAGTTCTAGCCACATTGTGCTGCCTGTCTGTGATAAATGTACAGTATGTTTAAATGCTCTTGTTCTGTTGAGCAGTTCATTGATACTTTATTAAGTATTCCATTAGCTATTTAAATGATCATATTATTTTCCAATTTGTTATTCATGGGGTTATGTTTTTACTTAATGTTGACTCAGTTGTATTTTTCTCACCTTTTCCTCTGCCAATCATCAGAAGTGACCAATCGATGATGAGCAGCATCAGACGAGGTCCAGTGAAAATGCAGATGATGTTAATTGAGTTGATGGTGCTGGTGGGGTGAGTGAACTAAAAACATGCCAGATTGAAAACACCAAAAATACCATTATATTCACTCACAGAGGTTTTAATGCAACTCAGTTAAATATACCTTTATTTATCCCGAAGGCAGTTTTACACAGCAGCTCGTCACCCAGGTCAACAAATACCCACACAATGAAAAGGAGAAATAAGAAGAACACTTTTAATTACAAAGCTAAAACAATCAAAGGCTATAATCTTCTAAACTACAGTTGCAATCAAAATTATTCAGCCCCCATCGCATATTAGGCCTATTGGCAAAATATACAATTTCTCTGCTGTTTGCAATAAACAAATTACTCAAGAACTGTTTAAGTAGTTCAATGAAACTAATATTACAAGGGTTTTGATCCAAATTCAACACAAAATACTACTTTCAATGACTACTGCAGTCTCAAAATTATTCAACCCCTTCATGACAAGCATCTTCAGTACTTAGTAGAACACCCTTTTGCTGTTATGACCTGCTGCAAACGTGATGCATAGCCAGACACCAGCTTCAGACAGTGTTCCTGAGGAATCTTAGCCCATTCCTCATGGGCAATAGCCTCCAGTTCAGTAATATTCTTGGGTGTGCGTTTTGCAACCACATTCTTCAAATCCCACTAGAGATTTTCTATGGGGTTCAAGTCAGGCGACTGTGACGGCCACTCTAGAATCTTCCATTTCTTCTTCTGAAACCAAGCCTTGGTGGAATTTGAGGTATGCTTGGGATCATTATCCTGTTGGAAGGTCCAATGACGCCCAAGCTTCAGCTTCATCACAGACGGCACAACGTTTTTACCTAAGATTTCCTGATACTTGACTGAATCCATCGTGCCCTCCACACGCTGCAGGTTTCCAGTGCCAGAGGCAGCAAAGCAGCCCCAGAGTATCACTGAGCCACCGCCATGCTTCACTGTAGGCAGGGTGTTCTTTTCAGCATATGCTTCATTCTTCTTCCTTCAGACACACCGTTGTTCCATAGGCCCGAAGAGTTCCAGTTTTGTTTCATCACTCCACAGAACAGAATTCCAAAACTTCTGTGGCTTATTTATATGGTTTTGAGCATAATGGAGCCGACTTTTCTTGTGCTTTTGGGTCAGTAGTGGTGTACGTCTTGGAGTATGGGCATGGAGCCCTTCGGTGTTTAGTATGTATTAGTATGTTTAGTATAGTATTAGTTTAGCCTTATTGTACAAACTGAAACCTCAGTGCCTGCTGCCACCAAGTCTTGCTGCAGGTTTTTTGCAGTCACTCGAGGGTTTTTGACCACTTGCCTCCTCAGGAATCTGGTGTCAGCCGCTGATAGTTTCCTCTTTCTGCCATGTCCAGGTAGTGTAGCCAGTGTTCCTTTAACTTTGAACTTGCGAACTATGCTTCCAGCTGTATCTCTAGGAACATTCAGAGCTTTTTCTATCTTTTTGTATCCTTTTCCTTGTTTGTGCAAGGCAATGATTTCTTCTCTGAACTTTTTGGACAATTCTTTTGCCATATTTCTAACATGCAATCAAACGTCACTCTCAACAAACCCCTAGCCAGTTGAGGTATTTATGTGTTCTATCTCAAGCACACCTGAACTAATGAAGCCCTTGATTAGTTGCACCAGGTGTGCTTGAAACAGGGGGTTGAATAATTTTGAGACTGCAGTAGTGATTAAAAGTAGCATTTTGCGTTGAATTTGGATAAAACCCATGGTAATATTAGTTTTATTAAACTATTTCAACTGTTCTTGTCTACTTTGTTTATTGCAAACAGCTGAAAAATTGTACATTTTGCCAATAAGCCTAATATGCAATGGGGGTTGAATAATTTTAATTGCAACTGTATATGTGAAACACATTAATAAATACAAATAAAACACACAAAAATATCTTAAAAAAAATGTCTAAAAAACACAAACTAAGCTCGACAGAGCCATAAAAATTACCTATGAATAATTAAGAGGGTGGACAGCGAGGGGAACAAAGGAATAAAGATAATACCTTTACTGGCAGGTAGAGCAAAGTGCGGAAAAGTCTGGATAAGTCTGGAAAAAAGAAAAGAGAGTATGGATTATATTTAAGTTTACAGGTGTTCCCCTTTTCTGTTTTCTAAAATATAAAATTCAGATTTAAAAAAAGATAATTGATCATATAAGCAGATTGTATTTCATGCTTTTTGGAGCAGGAAGCCAGTATAGCCAAAATATTTACCACTGTGTGAGAGAGTGTGTGCCAGAGTGAGCTTGATGTCATTGAAAGCAAGGCAAGAAGTATGGCATGCGACTTAAAGCACACTCCTAAGCAGAACTGCCTCTACGCCTGTACGCCACAACCTGCAAAACAGCTCTGACCCGAGTGCGGTACACTGTAACTGAACCAAACCTGGACATCACAAATAACAAAATATTAAGCTTGTCTGGGTAGAAACTCTGCATCATAAACATTAACCAACCTTTGACATTCTATGAGAACAACTCCAATGAAAACTTGATGCCTCTACATACACTAAGCCTCTGACATATCTCTGTCATGTTTTAGAGTCATTGGTTTGAGTTATGGTGCTGTTCAGAGACCAGACTATGACGACACACCCAACCCAGAGTTCCTCAATCCGTCCTGGATGACCAGCATCCCCGATGATCAGCCGCTGTCTGAGGTCACCATGCCTGGGACCCACAACACCATGGCCCTGTACGGCGGTGTGTATGCCGAGTGCCAGACCTGGAGCCTGGCCTCCCAGCTCCGAGCCGGTGTTCGCTTTCTGGACGTCCGTGTCCGTCACATCAAGGGGAACCTCACCATCCATCATGGAGTATCCTATCAGCGGGCGCACTTTGGCCACGTACTGGAGGGTGTGGCTGACTTTCTTAGTGAGTATCCCAGTGAGACAGTGCTGATGCGGGTGAAGGAGGAGTTCAGTGAGACGTACGACATCTACGGTGCTGTGGTAGACTACATCCATCGTTACGCTCACTGGGACCTACTGTGGCACAGCCGGCTCGTGCCGACCATGGGAGAGGCCCGAGGGAAACTCATCGTCCTGCAAGACTTTCCTGGACCAGACCTGGGGATGCGCTATGGCTCCCTGGACATAGCTGATGACTGGAGGGTATGAAAACGTATAACTCAAACATTTGTCATCATTTTACATCTTGCTGTAGTGGTATGATTATGATATGAAAAGCCCCACCTGCAAGTTGATGGGATTGGTTCTTTAGGTATGTGACATATTAAAACCCTGGCCATTTGAATCCATGCTTTTGAGACATGTCTTTGAGACTTGTCATTGATACACTGCGATTCCCAGGAGAAAACTCTCAGCCTTGACATTGTCTGCCTATTTTGACTATGATATGTCTTATAGCATATAAAAACAATGTTAATAAGATTTAAAGCTTTTATTTCCATCGGAGGGGATCTTTATATGAATGCTTCTGAGTTATTCAACATTTTGCGTTCCCTGTAGGTACCCACACTTCTGCATGTGGAGGAGAAATGGCAGAGCGTCTATGAGCACCTGGAGGCTGCACCTGCTGGAAACAAGGCCCAGATTTTCCTCACCTACAGCAGTGGAGCTGGTGTGTTCGCATACCCCAGAGCCATCGCTCAGCGCGTCAACACACAGCTGTATGACTACCTGAGGGCCAAGACGGACCTGAACCAGCGCCTTGGAATTGTATGCATGGACTTCCCTGCTGCTCCCATTATGCAACTAATCATTGACTTCCAACTGAGAGAGAATGCAAAGAGAAAACAGGTCTTTAACACAGCACCTAGCAAGGCAAGTTTGAAATATACAATTTCCAAACTGAGAAGGGAGATGATCAAACATTTTACTGTAAATGTCTGAGCCAAAATCAAGCACGAGGGAACAGTAGACTAGTCAATGACTGTACATTCAATAAGGCATCACTATGGACACCACATACGACACTTGTAGCTCAGATTTAATAGGTAGGCCTAACTTTACTCCTTTACTGTAATGAATATGATTTAAATTATACCTCAGATGAAACTTCTCATTGTGTCATTCAGCAGAGACACTGGAAACAAAATAAATGTGCCGTATAAAATAATCAGAAAGATCAGAAATGGCAATATGTAAAATTTTGTGCAGTAATAAACTGCTGTGGAAATGCTGAAATGCATCATAATTGCTGTTTGTTTTTAAAACTAATGTGCAGTATAGTTTTGTCATCATTTCATTTTCCATCTTGTCCTTACGAGGTTTCCAGCAGCCTTGACATCTGTGCAGCTTTTTTTAATAATAAAATGTGTAAGTGTAATAGGATGTGCATAAAATCCAAGGATGCAGACAAAAAAATCAATCCAAAGAATAATTTTTAGAAATGACAAAATAATAATTTTTGTGTCAGGTCATTTGGTAACTGTAGTAAAGCCACAATAAGCCGACTTTTACTCCACTCCACCTGGGGAAAGAACACAGGTCAACAGATGATACAGATGTTTGCCAGGTTTTGTGGCTCTGTGTCTCTTTGAATCACCATCAGGAGTTATGTTTGAGACAGTCCCGATGTGAGCAGTCATGTTTCATCGTCACAAGGTGGCAGTGCTGCTGCACAGGCACTTCACACAAACATGTTATTCTGGCTCTTTGGTGTGTGTGTGTGTGTGTGTGTGTGTGTGTGTGAGGTGGTGACCAGCAACAAGAGTGACAACCTTTGCATCACAAACTTGAACTGTCACACCGCTGAAGGAGAGTGCTAATTTCACCTTTGATTTATTGTCTTTGTCTGGTTTACCTTTAATAACTTTTTTATCATTTTACTCAAGTTATACACATTAAAAGGGAACTCCACAGATTTTACACATCAAAGTCTGTTTACAGGTCTTGAGGAGTGCTACTGTATATGGGGAAAAAAGTTGTATTAAGCCTTTTGTGGCTCCTCGGGATCAAAAATACATATTAATCCTCTTACCTGTAGTGCTATTTATCAGTCTAGATTGTTTCGGTGTGAGTTGCAGAGTGTTGGAGCTATCAGTCATAGAGATGTAAGCCTTCTCTCCAATGTAATGTCACAAGATGGCGCTCGGTTTGTGGTGCTCAAAGCGCCAAAAGAACAAACTGTTCAAAAGAAAAAAAGAAAAAGACATGAAGAAGAAAAAAAAGAGAAGTGAGCTGCTGCTTATTTCTGCTTATGGCTTGGTAGCCGCTAAAAGTGAAACACCCAAATCTCTGACTGACCTCTCTGTGAATGTGTTGCATTTTGGGTAACGTAGGCATCTTAGTTTGGCAAGAATTTAGAAACTCTACATTGAAAAGCTGCGAATGGTTCATCATGTCTATCATACCTGTTTAAAACACTTAAATGATCTAAATTAAGCTAACCATTGTGGATAGCCAGCACCCTGTCATGTCAACGTAAAAGACACCACTTGAATATTGTAGATTATTAAAATAAGACTAACATTTGTTTTATTTTTATTTTTGGTAAATAGAATATGCACATTAACCAACCATAAGCAGGTGCACTCAGTTTTTACTATCCAACAGCTCTACAGAAAATATTAAGTGATAAAATGTGTGATACAAGTGCATCCTGTGTATTTACACTGGTGAGACATGATCATAGTTTTTCCTGTCTATGTAGGTACCAGTGCATCACATGATCTTTTCAGTGCATAAATTGAGTCCTCGTGCTGCACCATGCAATGCCACTAAAATCTATTGATCATGTCCAATTAATTGCAAAGTGTAGAATTTCATAAAAGTGTGTTTTGCAAGAGAAATAGAGGAACACTATGTGACTGCTGGTGTGTGGCTTAAACCACACTTTGCATGCAGATAGTTGATATCAGATAACTGATTTCATCATTATTTCCTCTCACTTAAACACAGAGAGCATTGCGAAACAGTTGTTGAAATGCTTTGACTTGAAACAATATGTCTTAACATCCTGCCAAAACAGCCAAGGACGTTAACAAAGTGGATGCTTTGTCAAGAAGTGACTGACGCCAACTTATGCAGAGCTCTACACTCATTGAGTGAGTACTAGAAGAAGAAAAAAGACTTTGAAGTGTCTCCATTCAGAGCTGGACAGGTACAGTAAAACACTGCTGCTGCTGCTGCTGCTGCTCCTCTTTCTCTTGACATTGGTTGACAATTGTGACAAGACTCTTACTCTCTTTACAGCAGATATGAACCCGTCTCCACGTGTCGAATTCAGGGCTCAAAGTGCCGTCACGATTTCATTACTTGGTTAGAAGTCCTTTCTTCATCACATTTGTGTCTGCTTTATTTTATGTTTTACTGGTCCCTCACACACTCCCTCTTCCTCTCTTGTAGTTGTGGTGAATATCATTTGGTGGATGGTTATGATTGCAGCCATCGGTTTGGGTTGGTTTTCCTCTGTTTGACCACTGCAATATTTCTGTGATATTTGACAGCAAGCTTTATGTTTCGAATCTTTTTCATGTTAATATTGATGTTTTTTCTGGTTCTGGGTCACAGGGGCAACACATCTGAGCCTTTGTCCAGTGCAGCCCAACATCCCTCTCTACCTGATAGTGCTTGGAGGGGCAAACATACTCTCATTCTCTGTTACCTACACCAAGAGCACCTGGGGGGATGGCATGGTCGCCATCCTGTGCTCGACCTGCATGGCACTCCTACACCTCTTCAGTTTCGGCTGGTTCATTGCAGGTGGGATAAAGTGTCACAGCAATTTTATGTTTTAGTGAAGATAAATTCCTCTGGAGTCTACATGCTTGCATGGAAACACGGTAAAGTAAAGTATTTACTCAAGTGCTGTACATCCGTGCAAATTTCAGTATTTCAATTTCTGGCTTTAAAGTTCAACACACAAAACAGACATCCTTAAGAGTTTCAAAAACTCCATCCAATCTCAGACACATCTGATTGCAGGCGCGGCAGGGCATTCTGTTGCGCATGATAGGAACGCCCGTGTAGATCACTGGTTTACATGGGACAGGAACACCCAGTGTAATGATTGGCTCTGAGGCACATGGTTATTTATCAGCATCTGCTTCTCTACCAGCAATGCACATCTGGTTCTTACATTCTACAATCTCTCATTCTACTGTTATTATTCCATTGTAAAGACACACAAAAAATGACAGCACACATCAGTAAACCAAGATGAGCTCTATTTATACATTATGGCATGGTCAGTAGTTGTCTTGTGTAGGCTGTGTGAGGATATGTGGAGGATCATATACTCATACAGAAGTAATCCTTCCCAATCATCAGAATTTTACTGCAGAGACTCGTCCCTCTGTCTGTAATTTCTTATTTTCATTGAATTTTTTGTGTTCAAGACGTTAATGGGCGTGTACCCCCACAGCGCTCAGGTGAGGTCGGGGCTTTATAAAAAGGTAGCGATCAGCTGCCAGACTCTAATGCCTCAATTCCACTTACATATGTGACTGGAGGCCGTAGATTTGTAAATATATAGAAGTTTAACATTTGCAGTGGATTTCAAATTTTGATCCATATATTTATGGATCTGTGAACACCAGTCACATTCGTAAGTGGAAACGATGCATAAGCAGCAAGCATCCAAAAGATACTGACAATCCCTTAAAGGCTAGTTTTGCCTTAACAGAAAAACCTGGCAGAAAAGTGCTGTTCAAGGAGAATTCCCACATCTTCTGATGAAATGAATCACCCTTTAGGGGCATGCAGCCTGCAAGTTAGCACTGAACATTTCATCACCAGCATTACATTACTTGCATCAGTGGATGTTGAATCATTTTTTAGAGGTCAGCAAGTAAGCTAGCAAGCTTTGTTGAGATCGTACTGGTACAAATTACTTGCTAATGCTAATGTAACACTAAGGATCTGTTAGTTTGTGTCATCAGGTCACAAAGAATATTAAAATGATTTAAGAATTTGACAAAAAGGGAGTTAGATTAGAGTTAGAGTTAGATTAGATGGGTAAAGTTACGCGGCAGAAAAAGTTGCTACCAGGTTCTCCTGTCTATCCTACATAAATCAGTGATTTTCATGGGTATTCCTCTCATGTGCGACAGGAACTTCCCGCCGACTACTGTCTCCTTCAGGTGTGTGAGTGTGGTTTGAGCCGGTTTGATTGACAGTGACCAAACAACCCACCGACTCTCATCACATTTGGTTTCAAATGTTGCTGAATTGGTGTGAGGAAGTACAAGACATCTTTTTTTCACACCCTCTTCAAACCAGTGAAAACAGCACAGACAAAAATGTTGGACACCATCAGTAAAAAGCTGATTGAGAAGATATGTTTCAGAGCCTTTATTTTGAGTTTAGAGTGCAGTTTTGAGTCTAAATTGCATTGAAATGTGTTTTTAAATGTTTCCCTGTAGGCACTATCTGGGTTTATCCTGTATATCCTCCCGACTACACGCCCGGAGCAACTCGATACTGCCACAGGGTAACCTACCAGTTTGCCTTCGTTGTCACCACTCTGGTGTGGGTTGCTGCAAGTCTCGTGTTCGTCTGCGGATGTTGCTTCGCTCTTCTGACCTGTTGTGCGACTGTAATTGCGGGACGCAGATTGATACCCGGCCGCTATTCTTTCTATGGTGCGACAAGTGATACACAAGAATCCACTGCTGGTGATGTGTGATATTCATTTTTGTTTGTGTCCTGAAATTCACAATGGGGTTAACAGGAAAATTATTTTTTGTGGTAGTTTTTCAGTTGTATAGTTTTAAAGTTGTGGGCACTGGGCAGCTACAAGTAAAATGATTAAAACAGCAGATCTCAGAACAGTTTTTGCAATTTTCCTGTAAATGCTTGAAGACAGATTCCTTACTTCACTTGAGACTTGAGCTGAGTGTTTTTGCTGCATTTAATATGTTGGTGTTTTGTTACAGCAGACAAAGTGCATAGCTGAAGCAGCTCTGTCCAGCTTAATTCAACAGTAGTCACTCTCCACAGGGCGTGTAGTCAAATGTAGGAACAGCACCATCACATCATGTGCTTCCTGTTGACGCCAACAGTCAACATTTTAGCTGACAGAAGAGAAGTTGTGAGATAATCTTGTGGCAGCTAATACTAATTCAGCATTAAGATAGAGTTACTGGTGGTGTGTTTTTGTATTCTACTGTGCTATGTGCATGACAGATGTGTTTGCAGTGCAATAACTTTTCTTGACTTTTCTTAAAGATGGTATTGTAACAGTTCATTGTGCAGTATTGCTTGAAAATAAAAGCTTGATATGTTGTATAAAATAGTCTCTGGTCTCATCTCTCGTTCAAAGTTTCAAGTGTGTTGCTCCTGAAACTTGGGGAACCTGTAACCACACCCAACAGCGATCATGTCACTGTGTACACATGTATCGTGAAGTACACTTCTACATCACTGTAGCAAAGGTGAGAAGGTAAAACCACTAAAGGCCAGCTGGTGTTATAATAAGGTAGCTTTCTAATCTTAGCAACCACTAAAAGCACTTTACAACACTAACAGCATTCACACAAACACATACATAGCGGTAGTATGGTGGTAGCAGTGCTTGAGAAAAGGTCTAGAATCACCATGTTATAATTCTGCTATAGAGGAGGGGTTTCTCCATCATAAATAAAGGCGTTACAAGCATTATTAACAAAGGCTCATTCTTCATATGGGCAGGAATGCTGCTCGAGTACTGGTAAACTTTCTATTTTTTGATAAATTCATTAAGTAACATTGCTATCAGGTGTGTTTCAACCATCACACGTCAACTCCCTAGACCTTCTAAATCAAAACAATAATTAGGGACCGAGCCTAGAGGCAGAGGACTGCTCAGGACCCTCTTGTTTTTGCTGCGTGCGTTTATTAGGGACCAAGCCCAAAAGCAGTGGACTACTCACAGACCAGTCCTCGCCAAAGGCGAGGACCCCCCCCCCTATACTTTTTGCTGCGTTTATTCTCACAGACCAGTCCTCGCCGAAGGCACACTATTGTTTTTGGTGTGTTTATTATTATTTTTCTTTCTTTCTTTCTTTCTTTCTTCCGCCGCCTCTTTGAGCTGGAATTTGACCCCCTAAACATGCTCAAAAACTCACCAAAATTGGCACGCACATCAGAACCGGTGAAAAATTTTAGAAAATCATGACATTAACCCCTAAAGTGCCAAAATGGGCTCTCTAGCGCCACCTAGGCACACAAAAATGGCCGCCATGGCCTGTAGGAACGTCGTAGAAACATGAAACCAAAAGTGGCGTGTTCGTCCAGAGATATTGGATGAAGCGAGATACCCAACTCAGCTCACTTCCTGATTCAGTGATGTCAGTGGGAGAACAGGCTCTGATTGGAGGGAGAGCTAACCACGCCCACTTAGGAGACAGGAAGAGTAACCGTTTTCTTAACATTGGATAAGCCTACAGTTGGATATCTCCCTTCATCCAGTATCTCTAGTTCGTCTCATGAAGACCTAAAAATCACGCGCTGACACCCCTGACCTAAATCCAACAGGAAGTGAGGTATTTGCCCTTTCAAAGTAAGATTTTGCCTTAAAACTGCCTTTCCTAAAAAATCTTCTTCTCATACACCGCTTATCCAATCGGCTTCAAACTTGCACAGATGACAGATCAACTCGTTCTAATCAAATCTTATTCGTAACTTTTTCATTACTCGCTTAGTTTGGATTTTATGGGCTCCATAAGGTGAGATGTCAGAAAAACATCCTGACGATCTTCGAAAGCTGTCCCATAGGAAATGAATGGCAGCAGGGGGGAGAAAGAGACCAATCTTAGGGCTTTTTCTAGCATTTACAGCGTCTCCATACTTTGTGTTACAGACTCCATTCCAACTCTCAAATGTTGCCACAGGTCTCATCTATTCACTCATGTTTTCATCTTTTTCATATCTTTTACCGTTTTTCATCTGTGCCTCTCAAAGTACCATGAGCAAAAGTGGAGAAATTCTCACTTTACAATGGGTGTGTATTGCATGGAATGCTGTGAGCTAGAGTGGAGAGGGCTCTAAAAATCGTCTAAAACTTTTGTCTTTAACTCGCTGCCATGGCCACAATTTTCACTGTACAAACACAATTTATACCACAAAACGTAGGAAAATTTGTCCTGGTCACAGATATGTTGACATGGAATCTCTCACATGTACACATTTTTGTTGAGTGGCTCCAAAGCGAAGGGAGCGCCGATTTTTTTCTCATTCACTCCCATGTAAACTCTGAGGACAAATTTCTGGAAACAGCTTAGGTGCAACACATTTTAAACTCGCTCCCCTGACCACATTTTTGACTCGAGAAATATAAAACGCGACACGTGCGTTCACGAGACGTGGCTGGCTCTCAAAATCACTTTATTTTCTTGCTTGGACCAACGGTTTGGGTATGCGAAGCATTTGTTCGAGGAGTTAAAACCCATATTAAACAAACTTTGGTGATCTGCTCTCCTGACGTGTCTGTGTCTGCCACAGGTGCAGGCAAGTCATTAATCGCCATGACAACGGCTGCACACACAGACACAGCCACAGGGTTCTCTGGTCTGTGTGTCTCACAATCTTTAAAGGACAGATTACAGCAGCAGAAACTTCATTTGAAACAGAACACACACATTATTAACCCCTAAAGTGCCAAAATGGGCTCTCTAGCGCCACCTAGGTGCACTAAACTGGCCACTGCAGCCCGTAGGAATGTCGTATCAAGATCAAACCAAAACTGGTGTGTTTGACTTACAAATCACGCGCTGACACCCATGACCTAATTCCAACAGGAAGTGAGCTATTTGACCTTTCAAAGTAAGATTTCGCCTGAAACATGCTCTTAAAAAAACATCTCCTCCTACACCGTTTATTGTATCGGCTTTAAAGACGCACACATGCCAGCTCAACTGCTACTAAACAGGTCTTCTGTATAACTTTATCTCTCTCATCATCACATTATTTTCATGATTGGACCAACGGTTTGGGAATGGGAAGAACTTGTTCGAGGAGTTAAATCTCCACTAAAACAGGTCTCTCTGTGTTCTGTCTCTGTCTGTCTCTACTCTTCTGCCAGGTGCACATGGCAACCGCTGTCACACACAAATTCCATTTTAACCCTTTAGGTGCCAGAGTTTATTGAGGAAAATATTCCATTTTCATTTCAACATTTCGAAAGGCTGTGGCTTGAAAGTGGTGAGAGATAAAGGCATACTGTAAATGAGAAAACTATTCATCATGACCCAAAGTTTGTCATGGGAGTAAATTAACTCATCTAATTTGCATTCCGTGAAGTCACTAGGCAGCGGCCATATTGGATTTCATAAATATCAGTAAAACAGCATTTTGAACAGATTCACACAGTAGATTTCTTTTGTTTTGTGCTGTTTTTGTTGTCTCTTCCTCAAAATAAAGGAAGAGGAATCTGATGGGAATAAATTAACCCATCTAATTTGCATATTGTGACATCACTTCTACATACATACAGCTACAGAAAGCCTTCAAACATCAAAACATTCAGCTCTGTAAGGATTTTCTGATGTTTGTGGCAATATGTTTGATATTTCTCAATAATTCACAATGACGACATAAGCTGGGGGCCGAAATGGGCGCGAGTGCGAGGTCCCACCAAACACTGCTTGCAGCTTTAATTAAGGTTTGAAATGAGTATTTCGATTAGCATCAATAGAACTCTGAGCATCTTTGAAAAATAAAATGGCTGCTGTGTGTCATGGGGTGCATCTCAAGTCTCCACAGCTGCCTCCACGCTTCCTTCACTTGCGTCTTTTCCTTTGCATCTTAGCCCCTCCCATCAGGGATGCAAGGAAACCATGGATCCATCCCAAAACCAGATTTAGCATCCACGTTTCTCTCACGTTGCATCTCTTCCTCACGTCTTAGCTCCGCCCTCGTTGGACACGGGGGAGAGATGCGAGGATGAGATGCGAGGAGAGAAGAAACGAGGAGATATATCTTTAGAGAAATGAGACATCCTTTCCTCCGAAGCGTCACGTGAAGCGACGTCCGTTCCTAATGACGGCGGCAGCTGATTACAGCTGGATCAGCTGTCAGGAGGCTTTATTAACAGCCAAAGAAAGTTTTAATGGAGTTTGTGTCTGCACACACATAATGTTATATATACATATATAATAAAGATACAGATACAGTTATCACATAATGTTATATACACAAATATAGGCTAATGATAAACATACAGATACAGTTCTCAGTAGCAGAGCAGCAGTGTTTTCTCTCTGTCTAAATCACCTGCACATGAACAACAACCTGCATACTGTATTTATAATCTGCCCTGTGTCCTGTTAAGAGTCACACAATGTGTTTTGCATCTGCATTTATTGATATTCTGATTGTAAGTTCATTATCTAATAACCCAGATTATGATCATGGTGTCTTTGAACACTGGAAATAATTTATTAGGCCAAATGTTTCAGAGAAAATTAAAATTCTGTGACTCATCCACCCGACGCTCAGGAATGATCAGTCTGTTGGCAAAAGACTTCTGCGAAGGCTGCACTCGTGTATCCTTGCTTCCCTCCCCCCTGAAAGCCTCCTCTCTCCTCGACTCCTTGACTCCTCCGAGTGCATTTAAAGAATTGAGACGTCCTACAAGATGGCGAGTCTCAATCGATTTCTGGGTCAAGTGATCGAGGATAGAGGACAGAGGAGTCGAGGAGGGATATTGGGATGGACCCGAGATGTACCTATGGACTCTGCTGGAGCTTCCTGCTCCTCTTATACCCCACCCCTCTGCTGCCTTTCCTGCACACACCCCTCTGCTTGTTCTCCAGTCAGCACCTCCCAGCTTCTCCCACTAGAACACTGCCCACACCCATTGGCACTCTATTTGCATTGTCTGTCAGCCTATCAGTTGCCAGCATTCACATCCGGCCACACACCTGTTGCTTTACGCTTCAGTGCTTATACCAGTCAGTTTGCCATCAGATCGTGGTTTTGTTTTGTTTGTCTGTACTGCCTCTTGGATTTTGACCTGCGCCTGCTTTACTGTTTTGAACTCTGCCTGATGCCTTTGTGCCTCTGCCTAGATTTTTGGTTTTGACCTCTGTAACAGATCACACTTTGCTCTGCCTGAAAAGAGTGAACTCAGTTTTTGGCTTACTCCTGCCACTGCCCTGTGATCATGTGTGTGCGTCCCTCTCTGATCTGTGACTGCTGTGAAATTAATAAATATACAGTACAGGCCAAAAGTTTGGACACACCTTCTCTTTCAATGCGTTTTCTTTATTTTCATGACTATTTACATTGTAGATTCTCACTGAAGGCATCAAAA